GGTCCAACCTACTAGATCTTCTAGTAGGATTAAATCATTTCATCATGATGAATATAATAGTTTGGAATATTAGGGGAGTGGCAGACCCTAACTTCCTTAATAGGCTTAAAAATCTGTGTAGGGTTCACAAATTACTTATATTTGTTATTTTGGAACCTCTTATTTATGTTAACAAACATAAGATTCTTGATAAGTTCAAAAATTATCGTCATCATTGCAATGTTAGCAATAAAATTTGGCTTTTTTGGAAACCTACTGTCACTATTAACATTGTGGAAGATGAGGAGCAATATATACTATCTCAAACTTCTGTGGATGATTATCATAGTAGGGCCACTATTGTTTACTCTAGTTAACACTCACAAGATAAATTGAACCTCTGGCATAAACTTGAATCTATGGGGAATATCATTAATGATAATTGGTTTGTAGGTGGAGATTTCAACATGATTATGAAATCTATGGAGAGGAAAGGTGGTGGCAAAGTTGAGCAATCTTTAATAAACAGGTTTACTTGTTTTATTGCTAATGTTGGCCTTTATGACTTGGGTTATTCAGACTCCCCGTACACTTGGAGGAGAGGGTTTCTTTATATGCGTTTGGATCGGTTTTTGGCTAATTCTTCTTTTATCAATCACTTTCATATTATTAAAGTGCAGCACTTGAGCCCTGTTACATCTGATCATAATCCTTTACTGCTTACTCTGGCTTTCACTGTTAAACCAAACATTTCTTGTTTTGACTTTTTAAATGTTTGGATCACTCATAATACTTATCTAAATTTGGTTACTCAAGCTTGGAAATATGATGGAGCTGGAAATCCTTGGTTTATTTTGTGGCAAATGCACAAGAAAATGTCTGCTCATCTTGTTAAATGAAATTATCAGGTTTTTGGGAATGTTCACACTAAAGTCAAGGAGGCTCAACATTATGTTGATACTTTGGAGGCACAACTTGAAACTAACCCTCAGTTGCTGGATAATGTTGTACAAGCTCATATTGCTCTTTTAGATGCTATTACCGTTGAGGAAAACTTGGTTAAGCAAAAGGCTAATGATTCATCTTTTGTTGTAGGGGACAGAAATACAAAGTATTTTCATGCCACTCTCAAACATAGAAGAAACATAAATAACATTTTAAAAATCAGAAAAGGAGATGGGAGCATCTTAACTAATGCTGGAGAGATTGGTGACAGTGCTGTCACTTATTTTTCTGAGCTATTTCAATCATCTACACAAACAATGTCTGTTAATTCTTCTTATTTTGTTGATGAGTATGATTATATTAAAGATTTATCTTTGTCTTATCCTCCAGATGAACATGAAATTCTGAATGCTTTTAAATCTATTTGCCCAAATAAAGCCCTAGGCCCTGTTGGATTATCATCTGCTTTCTATATTTAATCTTGGGATATTGTTAGAAGAGAGGTTGTTGCTGCTATACAGAGTTTCTTTTTGGGATATGACCGTGGTAAATATTTCTCCTCTGCACTTATTGTTCTTGTCTCTAAAGGTAATGACAAGATTACTTGGGAGAATTTTAGACCTTTGTCACTTACCACTGTGGTTTCTAAAGCCATTAGCAAAATCATTGTTAACAGATTACAACCACATCTCTCTCACATTATTGCTGAACAACAATCTGCTTTCATTAAAGGTAGGGATATGTTGCTAAACAACAATATGCTTTCATTAAAGGTAGGGATATCACTGATAATATACTTTTAGCCCAGGAAATGATTGATGAGTTGGATAAAATATGCAGAGGGGGGAATATGGTCCTTAAGCTGGACATAAAAAGCTTTTGATACGATTAATTTGGATTTCATTATGAATATTTTACAAGCTAAAGGTTTTAAACCTGATTTTTGCTCAATTGCAGTGTGTTGGTCAATGGTAAAGCTCATGGCTTCTTTTCTGCTAACAAGGGTATTAAGCAAGGAGACCTCTTATCACCTACTATTTTCATTATTGCTTTTGATTATCTATCCAGGCTTATTAATAAACTTCATTTTGAACATCCTTACTTGCAATTTTCTCATAAATCCAAAGTTATGGTAAGCCACCTTGCCTATGCAGATGATGCTATTTTGTTTCTCAATGCCAGTAAACATGCAATTAAAGCCACTATGTCATTATTGAATGATTTTCAGAACATTTCGAGCATGAGTTTTAACTTAGCTAAATGCTCCCTATATTTTGGCAAAGGTGTTCCCTTATCTACCCATGTTTGGGCTTCCAATGATACGGGTTGCATGGTTTCTAAGCTCCCTATTAAGTATTTGGGGGTGAACATTATTAGAGGCAGAACTAAAAAAATTCAAATGGAGGAGGTGATTGATAAGGTTAAGCTTAAAATTAATGATTGACGTAATAATTACCTTTCTAATGGGGTCGGATTCTTACTTAAAAGTGTTCTTACTACACTTCCCTTATACACTATGCATGTGCTTAAGGCTAAAAAAAGCACAATGAATCATCTTGAAACTCTTTCTAACAAATTTTTGTGGCAGGGAAGTAGAGTTTCTAAAATCTGGGCTAATTGGCAGTATATTTGTAAGCCTCATAGTGCTGAAGGT